TTACCAGCACTGTTCCCTGCACAAATCCAAAACATAACCTGAACAGCTACTGAACAAAAATAACTTCATCCCAGCCCAAATCAACACATCCTCCAACTTTGTTGATATTCGTCAAAACTTAAAACTAGTTACTTTTCACCAATCCAGTCTGAATACTACTTAAATGTTTACACTGGTTTTTGTTTCTCACAGCTTCCTCAGGATGACTCAGTGGTATCAGCTACAGCAACTTGATTCCAAGTTTTTGGAGCAAGTTCACCAGCTATATGATGACAGTTTTCCRATGGAGATCAGGCAGTACCTGGCACAGTGGCTGGAAAATCAGGATTGGTAAGCACAGAAATTATTTAGGCTTTGGGCTGTGTGATAAACAGCACCATCGTACATGCAGTTACAGGCAGCAGCAGAATGCTGGGGAGACAAGCTGCTAGKTGAACCTTTGCTGGGAGAATGTTTCAGTACCTGTGTGGGTGCTACAGCCACTGTTCCTGCACCTCTTCAGGATTTTCTAGAGGGGCCTGATACCTGGAGTAAAGGTGTCCTAGCTCATATTGCTCTCAGTGGTTTAGAATAAAAGTGGCCATTTTAAGACTGATTATTTACTACCCTGGTAGCTCAGTCTCTAATTCTTCAAAGAYTCCAGACTTCTGCCAAAGTTTCTGTGGAGTGCCTACTATTTGAACAGCAGTACAACATACACATGCATCGGGGTCACTTTTTGGTTCCTGATGTGCATGGAATGAGTAAATGAATTTGAACAGAATGTAGCAAAAAGAAAACAGAGAGGAACAACATTTCTGTATCRAGGAACGCAAAGTTAAGAGATTGAAACTGTCTTACATTTGAAGGTAATTCTCACTGCTTGCATATTCTACAACTAGAGTTGGGAATTGAAAATAAAGTACACCTGTGTATATTTCTTCTTTGAGATATTAAAAGTGTATTTAACCCAACCATGCCTTAAATTATTCTAGGGAACATGCAGCCAACAACGTATCATTTGCTACGGTGTTGTTCCATGACCTGCTGTCACAGCTTGATGATCAATTTAGTAGATTCTTGATAGAAAACAACTTTTTGCTGCAGCACAACATAAGGAAAAGCAAACGCAATCTTCAGGTACGCCTGGGTTCTGTATCTGTACATTTACTTGGTTTGCTTCTGTGCAATTGGATGCCTTTAAGCAAAATACCCTGCCCATGAGGGATTTTTACAGAGGATGTGAGAGAATCCTGATTTGAAAGCCAGAATTCAAACATTGCTCTATTTTAATTGTCTACAGTTAGGAAGTAACAGCTTAATTATCAGTACAGTTAGAGTTTGAGAGCTTTAGGAAAAGAAAGTTAGGGTTTGTAAGGTGTTTACAAAAYTTATTTGGAGCGCTTACTCAACCGTCATTTCATTTTCCCCAGCCCTTCCTTTCCAGTTTCCTTAGTGTCCTAATAAGCTTCTGATACAGAGGAAACACAGAAAAAGAAATTGCTGCCTTGTAACTGCAGAACTGTAGTGAGTAGCAGAGGAGTTTTCCTATAGACAGCACTCTGCATTGCATTTCTGACAAAGAAAGGGCCAAGTCAGTCCCTAATCTTTTTGCCAATCTTCACACACAGKCAGTCCCTAATCTTTTTGCCAATCTGAAAGTTACTGAAGGACAAGAAATTATGTGCATGACCTTTAAAAATAGACTGTGTCTCTAATGCTAGGATAACTTCCAAGAAGACCCAATACACATGGCCATGATCATCCACAACTGTCTGAAAGAAGAGAGGAAAATACTGAACCATGCCAAGACATCAAATGAGGTAACAGTCTTGAAACATCTACTGCCRTTGTATCTCACCTTTCCTGTTATTTGGGACAAGGGAAGTGGATGAAGACTGGAAGGGGAAACATGCTGTCCTCTCTGTCCAATAAGAAGTTCCTTAAAAAACAGAAGAGTGAGCATTGATATGTACCAGCTGGAGAACATTAATATGTACCAGCTGGACAACATGGGTTTTTTTCTGCTGAATGAAACATTTGGAGATTAAATGGCCTGGAAATAATTTTTATTCCTTGAGTGATGTAAAAGCTGTGCTCATTTTTTTTTAATGCTTCTGCAGTATGAGGTAGCCTGATGTGCTAATTGGATTTTACTTCAATGATTAGTGCTTAACTTACTTATCCAGCAAGAGTTTAGGTTTGTTCTTCTGCATTTTACTGCCCAATTTACTCTCTGTGAAGCAGCTGAGCATGCTTCTCTGGACTGTCTCTGGGAAAATTATGTGTCACTCTCATTCACAGTAGTCTTCAACTATTTCTTTCTATTTTTTGGGGGGGGTTGGGTTTTTTTTTAAAGAAGCCCCTTTTTTTCCTCTGAATTATAGGTAARGCCATATCTTCTCCTTCCTCATCTGTTTTCCAGCTTCTTTCTTTTTTTTTACCTTTACAAGGACTGTTTTGCAATAAAAATTCTGCAGATGGGAAAAGCATGCAAAATGTGTAGATAGCTATAATGCACTTATATAGAAATAAAGTGATGGTTGACCAAGCACATTAATTTCCAACACTGAAATACTTCAGTTTATAGCAAGGCTTCGAATGTGCAGTGTGGGAAGAGTGCTTGGACACTTGGCTTTCAACAAGGGGTCCTTTGCAACAGTGTCCAAAGCAGCTGCTCTGAGAGTGTGACTGACAGAGGCCCTGTAGCTGCAGCACAGYGGTTCAGTCCTGGCACATTCCATAAAGCACTTGCTGCTGCCTGTCTGGTATGCAATGAATTTGGGTCATCAGGAAGGGAAAGGGAATCACAGAATGGTTTGGGTTGGATGGGACCTTGGAGATCACCTGCCTTCCACTAGACTGGGTTGCTCAAATCCCARTCCAACTTGGCCATCACTTCCAGCACTGACTTAAACCTTTGGCTGTTTACCTAAAGAAATACTTTGTTTSTCCCAAATTCACCTGAACTTGATTTTTTTTGTACTACAAAATTTTAATATGATTTATCAGAACAAACCAGGCTTCCTCAGGTTGTTTGTCAAAAAAAGCCACTAATTTACATTAATGAAAAAAGTTATGGGCCACTCTGACTTGATCTGCTTCTTATCTCAGATGGAAGTAGGGAGCATCCAGAACACTGTGATTGGGATGCTGGACAAACAGAAGGAGCTTGATGCCAAAGTTAAGGCTGTRAAAAGCAGTGTTACAGTAAGTATAACTTTTCATAGTAGTGTTTATTAATTCACAGATGTTGAAAAGCTTTTAGTAGTACATTAGAAGTGATAAAATAACAAATAAAAGTCAGGTAGTGGTTTTCAAGTCTATAACCAGGGATTGTCTAAATATACAAAGTATCTTGTGCCTAAATTTTAGCAATGAAAGCATTTTACCATCCGAAAAACTAGCAACTGAGGGAAAAAACCTCTTAAATCATGTACTGACCTGTTTGTTGCTAACTAGAAAATGTATTTTTTTTAGCATATGGATGTTTGTCTTAATAAGTGCAGCCACAACAGAAAGCATTTCTTCAAATACTACTTAAGAATTTAAAAGTTTAAAATTGTATGTGCTGTTCCAGGTTTTTCCRCTGTAGGCTAAGTTCTCCTAAACTGTGTTAATTTACATGGCTTGACCACAAGGGCATTTCCATACTTAATAATTAACAGATTTCAGTTAGTCAAGAAGGAGGAAGAGTAAATAGAAGGTGATGAAGTTTAGTGCTATTTCCTGTTAGGGAGTTCCAGGAAAAAACATTGCTACAAAATTAGACTTCATGTCTGTCAGGGGCTGGTACCAGGCAGTTCCTAATCAGATGTAGTCTTGSATTTCTGAAAAATATTAAGTAATTGTGGCTACCATCACTTGTGCATTACAGGATGTGGAGCAGGACATCAAGACATTAGAGGACATGCAAGATGAATATGACTTCAAATGTAAAACCCTGCAGAATAGAGGTGAGTAATTGTTCAAGGATATTCCCCATTGCATGTAGCTTGTCAGAGTAAAYTGCTCTTTATGTCAGGACACTAAACCTAATGATACACAGCCAAACTCATGTTAATGTCCCTCCTTAATTAACGCTGTTTCACACTGAAACCAAAATTTCTGCACCTATCTTTTGYTMYAAGTAAGARAGCCTCCTTGTTAACACAGCATTCCTTTGTCCTTTACATCCCTTTGCCACTAGAAGTAGCAAACCCTGTAGACTCGGTGACCATTCGACCATACACTTAATCAGTGATGTTTTTGCCATCTTGTATTTCACAAATGCCTTCCTGCTTTAAGTTTTGTAGGCTCTTGTGCACCGAGGGAAACACACAGAGTCTGCACTGGTTTCATTATACAGATCTGTCCCTGTAGTTGAATTCTTTGCTCTAGAAAAGGCTTTAGTTTCCAACACAAATTGGCAGCTGGCTATTGCTCAGAACAGGGACATGTTCAGAAGGTACTAAGGGAAGCACTAAGCCATRATCTTGGTTTTTGTACTTGTCCCCWTCTCCCTTCAGCATTTCTCCCCCACCATCAGCACTCCTTCAGGCTCACATTCCCAATTTGGACTTATTTCTACAGAGCACGAGTCCAATGGCATGTCTCAGGAGGAATACAAGAAAGAACAGATGAATCTCCAGCAGATGTTTTTATCACTGGACCGCAAGAGAAAGGTAGTGCTCAAGTTTTCTTTCAGAAGTCAGCAGCTCTTCATTTTAAGCACATGTTCATTTTCCTTGAATTGACATAAATTAGCAGTCGGAAAGTTTTTTTAATATRTCAGAGTCTTTGCAGAGTTTTGTAGACAAATGAGCACTAGCTAAAACAGTACTTAGTTTTCCTGTGTGAAGTGTTTTTAATAAACAGGGTACTCTCATATGCTCTGTAGGAGGTGGTGAATAAGATAGTACAGCTGCTGCACAACACAGAGCACACACAGACTGCTCTCATTAACGATGAGCTGGTGGAGTGGAAGCACAGGCAGCAGACAGCCTGCATTGGTGGGCCACCCAACGCCTGCCTCGACCAGCTGCAGAACTGGTAAGTCTGTAGCCAAGGCCTGCATTTGAACTGGTTTATAAAGGAACACTGATTGATTGTATTATCCCTGTTCCTTCTGTCATACATTCATTTTATTACCTCACCACATTTCCAATGAGCACAAAGTGTCCTCCATGCACTGTCCCATCCTTAGGGACAGTCACCTGGCTGGTGCTTCTGCATTAGCAGAATACAAAACATGCTAAAASTAATAAGATCCTGTTAATTATAGGTTCACCATTGTTGCTGAAAGTCTACAGCAAGTTCGTCAGCAGCTCAAGAAGCTTGAGGAACTGGAACAGAAATTTACCTACGATCCTGATCCCATCACAAAAAATAAACAAGTTCTGCAGGAGCTAACACACACTCTTTTCAAACAACTCATCCAAAGGTAACAGACCAGAGGGATCTTTCAGTGTTTGCATAGAATAAATAGATGGAGAGCACCTTCCCTACTGTTCCCTCAGTATTCCTGCATGCTGACTTTGCATTTTCCAAGGTTTTTTCCATTTTCATAAGTTTGTCACTAACATCAAACTAAATTACTGTTTCTGAGATTCACTCTATCCAGGATTTCCACAAGTTCAGGCCTATGAAAAGGGCTTGTGGTCATTATTGAAGTTAGCAGGAGCTTTACTGCAGTACACATTGATTACAGAGTCAAATTCCTACCCTGATAGTGCAGTTCTTGCTTCAAACTTCAGCCATGCAACATTCAAGTGAAGAGAGGCAAGAAACTGTGCATCAAGCTGTGCCCAAGATAGACACACAGTAGATTCTGCAGTCCTTTACCAATGGACACATCCTCCTTGCTCCCAGCACAAGGAGACCAGCCTTGTCTCTGTACCACCTCTATGATACAAGCTGCTGACACTGGTAGTTGCCCCACATAAGATCAGAGTCCCATTCTGTAAACACACAGTAGAAAAAAAATTGGGGTGTATCAGAACAGGTTAGCCCCAGAAATGTGTTTCTTGGGGTTAGCTGGCCCTCATCAAATCCCCAGCTAGTGTATGCATCCCTTGGGCACCTTTKGTTACACAGCACTGTCCCTGTAAGAATTCAGGAAGCTCTGGGAATGGCAAACAGAGCAACATTCCTCACTTGCCCTGTGCTAATCACAGCACAGTATTTCCTTGCTGTTTGATTTCAGGGAAGTTTGATACAGTATGGATTGCAGAGGTACTGCAGAAAAGCCAACACTTGTGAAATCACTATTTCTAGCCCCATTGAAACAATTGAAAGGAACTGATACACACCTCTGTGTAGATTGAAACTGAATTAATAAAGTGTATGGTATTACTGGTAAATCAACAATAYTTTAAAGTTTACTTTTTATGTAATTTCTTACCTCTCAGTGGCAACATTGATAAATCATAGGGCCTTTAATCTGTTCTTCCCATAGCTCCTTTGTGGTAGAGAGGCAGCCTTGCATGCCAACACATCCTCAGAGGCCACTAGTCCTGAAGACAGGAGTGCAGTTTACTGTGAAGCTRAGGTATGTTTTCCCTTTCCCTGTTCCTTTTTTGTGGTAAGGATTTCCTGTCWCTGGCTTCCTGCACCCGAGAGGATTGCGCAGCCTGCCCTGCAGCCCCAAGACTAAGGCCAGGAGGACATGGGCAGGGGGCTTTCTTCTGGGAGACCTTAACTCTGACACTRAAAARAAATTACTTCTCTTTCCAGATTGCTGGTGAAACTGCAGGAACTGAACTACAACTTGAAAGTGAAAGTTTTATTTGATAAGTATGTTACATTTTTTCAGCCCTCTCTACKGTAATGGTAAACAGTCCCCATGTTCAGAAACCAAAGGGCAGTCATATTGGAAGTGTTGGGTAGGACAGGAGCAGGCTGCTTCTCTGTGGCAGCAGGTGCATCCTTCCCCTTCTCTCACCTATTCCCTTGCTCTGAATATCTCTCTGCCACCAGAGACATGTCACAAAGTACAGGTGGCCTCARCTTCTCACCACCAGCTCCAGAGAGGAGAGCTCACTACTGCTAAATCAGGCACAGGGCAGCACTTGGGCAACAGCTGCTTCTCTGTTGGGGTGCTTCACTTGGATTAGCACGAGTGTAGGATTGGACTCCACCATTTCCAATCATGTAATTTTGTCGTGGCTCTAAAATACCTTATTTTCTGGATAGTGTCTAGTAASGAATGTAGTTACCCTAAAGCTGCCTTTGAGTTAGGGGTATAAGCAGTCTACCTTAATTTAGGACATGTTCTAATTAGAAAAGAAAGATTACAGCAATCTAAATAGATGAATACCAAACTATGGTATTTTTTAAGCACTTAGGTGAATTTAGCACTTACTTCAAGGGCAGGGAAAGACATACAACAGACTGTCCAAAATAATGACAGGGATTGTGCTTTTAAGAAAGCAAGTGTGTTTTTGACTTCCCAGCCAAGTAATTTTGTTCACTTGAAATGGATCTAGGGTCCAGAAACATGCATAGAATAGGGAAAATGGGGGGTAAAAAAATTCTTATGTGTTTGTGGGAGGCGAGGCTTTGGGAAGTGCACTAGATAGAATACAACTCAGTAAAATCCCACCCAATTTAAGTGATGCAGCAATTTATTCAGCAAGTTTAAAATCAGATTTAGAGTGGCAGAACTATATTTTTTTTCCTCAGAGCAAGAGTTAAAAATCTATGTAGTAAAAGAAAGTACTTCCTTTGATTATAAAGCCCTCACAGCCACATTTAAGCCTCAGTAACAAATGGCCTGTGTAGCACAATATTTATTTTGACTGCTTGGAACCGATTGCCTCATCTCTTGCACAATAATTTCACAAAAGCATTTCACCAGTTCTCAGCCAGCTCTGTCAGATACTAAAACATGCACACTTTTTCTCTCTGTGGCAGAATCTTTAAAAGAGTCTTATTTTCTCTTTTTTTTCTTTCTTGACAGAGATGTAACTGAGAAGAACTCAGTCAAAGGGTATGTGACATCACAGTTTGGTATATTAATGCTAGGTTCTTTCAATGAATGTGAGATCTAATTATTTTTTCTCTCTTTGTGAAGGTTCAGGAAATTTAATATTTTGGGAACAAGCACAAAAGTAATGAATATGGAAGAATCTACTAATGGAAGTCTAGCAGCAGAATTCAGGCACTTGGTAGGGGGTTGTCCTTTTTTTTTCTTATATTGATACAGTATCTTAATTTTGTGCGTAGAGCATGTTAGGATGGAGATAATGATTTTCTTGTTGAAGTCATYACTCATGTTCATGTAAAGAGGAATTGTGATTATCTCTCCTTTTTCTTTGTTCWGTCCCTTTCAAAATACTTTGCCTGTTTCAATCAAAATGTGATTGCTTGTCTCTGAAATGGGACAGGAATGCAAACAATAGTGCTTGCTGCCATACTGCTTATGCTGCAATAGGTTTTACAGAAAAGGAAGTTAAAAAAGCCTAGAAAGACTGGTTTGGGCCTTTTGGAGAAATGTCCATAGGTAGGGAAGCTTGGAGAAGTTTGAAGAACTTTATGAGTCTGGAAGATGAAAACTGTCTAGGARTGGGCAGCTGCAGGAAAGTCAGTGCCTTCAGCAGACCACCCAACACTTTTCATCTGCAGGTTGTGAGGGAACAGAWTGGCTCCATCACTACAACAGGAAAGGAAAAATGCAGGTCCAGAACCAGGGGACATGGAAGTCTCCCTTCATTGCCCAGAACTGAGACTCTCTAGAGGTTATMATCCRAATCAGAGGGGTACTTTGATAAAAYARTATTTCATCTGACCCTGATTTCATATTCCTTCTCTTCTTGAAGGTCCGCTTACATAAAGGCATTGCATCACAACTGTGCAATATCTTTTTTCACAGATGAATAGTTTATGGAAGAGTAGTAGTTACCTACAAATTTAATCCTTTGGCTGCCACAGCTTGGAACCAAACAGAGCCAGACACTAGTGCAGCAAGTTTGCATACAGTTGAGCAAGTGGAGCGTGCTAACCTCCTCTACCACTTCCATTTGTGGCTGACATAGATGAGCAACAGKGTTTTTTGTTTATTTGCAGCAACTGAAAGAACAGAAAAATGCAGGGAGCAGAACAAATGAGGTAAGCASCACTAACCTTCTCTTTGTGAAGTTTTAACATAATACTAACAAGGCATTCATTTGAGAGAATTCTCTCTGCTCAGCCCCATGACAACACACACATGGCATGAGAGATCATAGGAGAGGAGTTCAGTGTTCCTACAAAGTGATCCATGTAGGAAGAGTCTGCAGGTGAGAACTACTGCCAGAAGAGCACTGAGAGACTCTCCCACACTGGCATCTACCTTTAACAGGGCTTCTGGCAAACACAGATCTTACTATGGCTTATAGGTAGTAGCCACCAAAAAAAAAAAAAAAACAACCAAAACAAAACAAAAAACCCCCAACAAAAACATCTGCCTGGAGAGGCAGTTTTAGGAAATAAGCACTGTCACTTGACTTTGACCTCTAACCTCCTACTGAGGTCTAGACCACATAACCTTGGGCAAAAAAGAGTTTTCCCCATGATAAAGCCCTTTTACTTCACCCCAGGAATTTTTAGTCCCTGAAGAGCTTTCTTTTATTTTTTTTTTGAAGGGTCCTCTCATTGTAACAGAAGAGCTTCACTCTCTGAGTTTTGAGACGCAGCTCTGCCAGCCTGGTTTGGTAATAGACCTAGAGGTATGTCATAGATAAACTTGAGTTCCTGTGTGTCGCTCATGCTAACAATCTAAACTTTTTCCTCTCTCTCCCTTTTTTTTTTTTTTTTTTTTTTTTTTTAATTTTTTTTTAATTTTTTTATTTTTTTTTTTTTTTTTTTTTTTTTTTTTTTTTTTTTTTTTTTTTTAAAGTACTGGAATATGGAGCACTTTCAGTTATTTCAAAGTATGGGAATGACACTTCACAACAACTCTGTATAGACACAGAGAGAGAATGCTGTCAGATCTCTGGGTAAATAAGAATAGATGTGCTTTGCAAAGTGTCTGATAACCAACCCTACGGGTTAAGCTCTCTAGGTATCAGTTTACTTTTATTTCAGAAGCAGTGTGCTGTGCATGCTGCTGTCACTATCAGTGCAGTCATAAGTGATACTAAATGGAAGTCTTTATTAGACAAAAATCACCCAAGTCTTTCTAGTATTTCATCAGACTGGTATTTTCTTTCCTACTTACAAACTTCTATTGAAAAAGCCAAGACTATGTGAGCAGGGAATTAAAATGGGCATGGGTTTGTGGATAATCTTCAGGAAGATTGTGGCAGCAGTGCAGGGTAACCTGATACATTTCCTTTTGTGCCCTTTTCAGACCACATCCCTTCCCATTGTTGTGATCTCCAACGTGAGCCAGCTTCCCAGTGGATGGGCTTCTATCTTGTGGTTCAACATGCTGTCTACTGATCCCAAGGTATTTGCAAGAAAAAGAATGTATCAAGGACTGTGTTTAATTTCCAAGYCCTGTATGCAAGTGGCTGCTGCATTTTGGCCCTGCAGATGAYTCTTAATGGCTTTCAGGCACCCATAGGGGCAGTGACATCCCTGTCCTAAACAGAGCAATGTCTGAAACCCACATGAGGGTAGTACACATGTACTCAGGATATACAGCACACAGTGAGAAGCCAAATAAACATTCAAGAACTCAGTTAAGCTGCACTTGAGTGATCCAGCTGTTCTGCCCTCTGGGAGGAGACATATCCAGAGCCCCAGAGATTGCYTTTCCTAGTAAAGAGTGCCTGGAAKAATRGCAGCCTGCCTTGCAGAGTTACCTCAGGCTGACATTGATTCTTAAATCTGTATTTTGTTTTGACAGCACACTTATAAATTCAAGTGGCATTTCAAAATCAATATTTCTTATAGGTTGTATTTTTCTCTTCCATTCTAGAACCTGTCCTTCTTTCTGAATCCACCTTGTGCAAAGTGGTCTAAGCTTTCTGAAGTTCTGAGTTGGCAGTTTTCTTCTGTAACAAAAAGAGGACTTAATGCAGATCAGCTGAGCATGCTGGGAGAGAAGCTTCTTGGTATGGTCTGCTTCCATCACAGGTGGCCTGTTTGAATTGAAGCTAATTCTACATCTTTTCCTGCAGCCTATTTTAAATTTTCATTTCCTCTCACACCTCTTCCCCTCATACAATATAACTTTGCAGCAATGAAGTATTTTCCATTTTTCAGTATGGCAGAGTTTGTAAATGACATCAGGTCATTAAAAATTCTGCAGTTCTAACACAGGAGTTTTATGCATTAGAGCAACACAGATTGGGCCTACTTCTTTTGAAGTAACACACATATTTAGTCAATGGCTGTGAAGTGGCTGTTTCTTGGCATCTTTTTGATTTTGTTTTTAAATCCACCTTCATTCATATGAACTTCATGCATGCCCCCAGCTACAGTGTGGATTTACTCTGTCTACATAAACACACTTACAATATCAACATGCAAACACTGTGAAACTGCTAAAGGATATCAAATTAAATTATGTCCCACATGAGTGTCCTTAGTAAAAGCCTCRTCAGSYATGAGTTTTGTTTCCAAACTCCTTRGAGATTGCCTGAATAGGCAGAGCACTTCACACTGCTACTGATTTTGCATAATAGACTCTGGATGAAAAACACTGTTGATACAGTATATTTCACCAACATTAAGTTTCAGGAAATCTTTCTATTTAAAGGTGTTTGAGATAAGTGTGTCTAGGTGGCAAGTACAGAATTCCAGTCTTTAATTCCCCTGAGACTAAGAACTGACAAAAAGCTGCTAATTTAATAGATTACTTATCAAAATTCTGCAAGGAGAATAATTTTTTTTATTTAATTAACCAACACAAAGAGACCAGTGATACATTTCTATGGCAAATTTKCATTTCAGAACTACAGATTTTGTTGAGCTTATTTTTGTAATGGTAGGGTTGCTACTTCAATCATATCTCTATAGATAAAAATATCATACAGCWGAAAAAAATTCTGGTTGCTGAACACTGTATATTCAGGATTCCTTAGTGCCAGGAGACAGAATAGCAGGGTGCCAGGATACAACTTGCCTGCTGCTTTTGCAGTGTGAAAGTTGACAGAATCTTGATCTCTTAACACTAGCAGTATCAGTAACAAGCTCCCTAAMCCAGTTTATTTTTAGAAGAATGACAGAGAAAAGGATATTTATTGAAAGCCGTACTATGATCATTAATGGAAAGAATTTGGCTCTGACTATAGAGTCAGGGTCTGCAAAGCTCCAGCTACTGTAGTCACAGCATAGGACTTTGCTTTGTGGTTTGGATATGATTATAAAACACTGTGGGCATAAAAACARGGCTGGGGGAAACAATTGCAACAGGAATGAAATGGGTCTGTGGTTAGGGTAGACCTAGGAGTCAGGAATTACTGAGGCAAAAGCCTGCAAGTCACCAGAATTGAGACAAGAAAGTGGTTTATCTGAGAGAGCGACTRTAGGGTCTGCTGAGCCCCTGCTGCAAGAGGAGCTTGTGGGCTGCAGTCCTGTTGTGCTGGGAAGAACTGTGCAAGGATTCAGGCTCCTTCCTGGGTGCATTTTGAAGCTGGCAAAGGTATGGTGTAACCCAGCAGAGAAAGTGTCAGGATGAATTGGTTCCCATTACACAAGGGCTGTCCACACCAATTTGGTTATCATGAAATCTCCCAGAGGGGAACTTTGCAAACTCCCCTGCACTAGCTGTGAAAACACAGTGGCCTGCCCTTCCTTTTCTTTCTTAGCCCAAAGCTGAGTTCTAAATAAACACTCAGAACTTGATTTTCTAAGTACTTTTAGCCTTACTGAAAATTTACAGAGCATGACTGAATTCAAATTTATTGTGTTCAGGGCCAACAAGCGGAGGACCTCAGGACAGCTTTATTCCTTGGACAAGATTCTGCAAGGTATGAACACAGTTTTAAAAACTGAGATGGAAGAGGGAGCTCTTCTTACTTTATTGTGGGTTTTGTTTGGGCTTTGTTTGTTTTCTCCCCCAAGGTGCCTTCTTTCTTCAGCATCCCCCTAATTATTCTAGACCTTACATTGTCATGGGAGGCTTTGGTGGTGAGGTTAAAATAGACCCAAAGGAGGAAAAAGAGCTTGCAATAGCAAGGAGTAGATGATTTTGAGACTGTTTTTGATCTATGTGAACTCCATAGGAAAAAAAGTAATGTATCTTTCAAACAAACACAACATCTTCATTATTATTAATGCAGCTGCTRCTAATAGCACAATTCTTCATTTTGACTGTACAGAAAATGTAAACAAAACAACCAGCAAGATGAGCAATTCTTCGGTATCATAGTGAAGGACATTTCCCAGATCAGGGCCAACTGGATTGGGGTGAGGATTAACACAGGGTGGCCAGGAGGGTCAGTGTGATGCCAGAGAGACAAATTGTGGAGTTTCACAGTCCTGGCTGCAGCAAGACAGGAGGACTCCTCACATTTTCTTTGCTTTAGACCCTAAACTGGTATAGATAAGCAGGAGATTACAGCAAGCAGGCTCCAGGKGAAGAGGAAGGATCTGATGAGGTACAAGGACTTAAGTTCATTRATATGGGTTTCTCTTGAGAAACTGAGGTCCAAGTCTAAACAGAAAGTGTCTCTAAGATCTTCTGCTAGCCAGCCCGTCAAAAACCCCATGGAATGGTGGCATGTCCAAGAATTCCAATGAGAATAGCACCCAGGCAGGAACATTTTATCTGCTCTTAGACCTGATTGCACATGAGAGGTGATGGATCATGTATTTTTGGGTACTGTAGGCACAGATAGGCATTTTTTTCATACTGCTCTGTTACCAATMGTTCCTGTCTTTCTTGAGTGGAGAGACAGATAAAGAGTCATAAGAGAATCTGGAAAAGGTGGGAAAAAAAGAAGAAGGGAGAAAACCACAAGAACGAGTAGACAGTGGCAGGATTGAAACGTTGCTTTCCTCTCTGCTGTACAAAACTCATGTCTCATTATCCCTGTTCTCCCCTCTCCCATTCCTGCCTTTCCATATTTTGAATTTCAGGAAAATATAAATGATAAAAATTTCCCCTTTTGGCTGTGGATTGAGGGAATCCTGGAGCTTATTAAGAAACATCTCCTGTGCCTCTGGAATGATGGGTAAGACCTGAGTGAAGTTAAAGATGTGGTCATTGCCTCCAACCTCACTTCTACGCTAGCAGTTGCACCCTGAGGTTGGGAGGTTGTGCAGAGAGTGGAACTCGAAACCAGAAAAATCTGAAGCAAATGGATTCTCAATGAGGAATCCTCTGAGGAGACAGCTGCTAAAAGCAAGAACATCAGATGACTGAATTGCCCCTTTTAAGTCACAGAGCAGGGCTTTGAATGTTAGATTATATTTTGTTTTGCCTCTGCTCCCATTCAGTCGGCTGTTTATGCATCTTAGAACACAGCCAAGAAATCCTGAAATTCTTACAAGGAAGTACAAGTCATACCGATATCCATTTTAGGAACCAAAAAACCGAACTTCCTGCCCAAACCGAGTTACTGTGAGCTGCCTCGAGGTGGCAGCAGCCGGACCCTGAACGCCTGTGCCCGCACTGTGGTCCCAGAACACGGCAGTCTTCACTAATTTTAAGAGTATTACTAAGGAGAAGGACTGTGCCAGATGGGAACACAGTTCCATTTGCCCTTTAATACTGGTTTAGTAAACTTTCAATTCTGGGATTTCCGATTTCGGAAGTAATTCTGCCCAAACTAGGCTTATCCAAAGTCACAATCCTGCGTTTTAGCTTCAGCCTCATTATAAAACCTCATCAGACAGCACACTCACAGTGCAGCATCCCAGTATCCCACAATTCTGCAGGACGTACAACAGAAGGATTGCTTTGCCTTGCTCCATTCAGCAGCAGACTTCACTTTTTTACCCCCCAGCTCCAGATCAGTTCTGTCAAAGCCCTGTGTAGAAGTTCCCCTTGTATACAAGAGGATATTACAGCCTCAAGAGCATTGCCTTTCTTCATACTTGAGACACAGGAAGCCAAAAGCCTTTCCTTATGCACAGGATATTGACTACTGAACACATTTAAACCATTTGGCAAATTTAAACCTTTGGCATTTAAACCAAACAAAACATAAGACTCACCAAGCAAACCCCCAAACCATAAAACACATAAGCAAAATTATGGTTATTTAGTATTTTTTTGAGCAAAACCCGTTTTCCCCAACTTAAGGCACGCAAGGACAGTCATAGTACTCAGAAGTTCATTATTGCTGGAGTATTTTGAGGAATAAGAGGCAGYGCAGAGAAGTTCTGGCCTTTGGGAAAACAAATCAAAAGCAAAATACCAACCAACAAACCAACCAAAACCAAGCAGCTGGGGCTTGGCCAGGGTTATACCCTGGTACTGACTTGAAAAACTCCCTCCCTAGTACCTGTTCAGATCAATCAATCCCTTGTAATTTCCACACTAGCCTCCTCGTCCATGAATTAACATTTGCTGARCACAGTGAATAAGTCACACAAGTTTAACAGTTCGTGTAGAAAACATGCACAAGGACCAAAGCAAACCCCACACCTGTAAGAGCRTCCTGTGGCAGCTAGCAAAGTTTCATCAACCCAAAAGGAGAAACAACTGTTCCTTAGAGTAGTTTTGAAGTTAAAACTAACTGCTAGCTGTGATTTGAATTTGTTACACACATGTAACTTCACTCCTGCTCCCACAGCCCAGCTTTGACAGCAAAATGGCCAATCTCTTTTGTTYCCAGTTCAGAAAGATGACTGTATAAGCCCCCAGGCCAGAGTGAGAGTGCTGAGGGAAGCTGTGGTGATTCATGGCTGCCACGGGGCACGAATCACCCCTGACTGCAGCCAGCCAGTGCTGCCAGCTGTTCACAGGACACAGCCTTCCGGGAGGCTTTCASCAGTACATCTCTTACAAGTGACAAAAGCTTTTTAGTCTTCCTAGCTAGCCCAGCACAACCTAGGTTTTATGCTGAGGAGTAACTCAGCTTTTTCTTTTCAACATTACAGCTGCATCGTGGGTTTCATCAGCAAAGAGAGAGAACGTGCTCTGCTGAAGGACCAGAGCCCAGGAACATTTTTGCTGAGATTCAGTGAAAGCAGCAGGGAGGGAGCAATCACCTTTACTTGGGTGGAGGGATCTCAGAACGGTGAGTCAGCAACAGAGAACCTCTGCTGATCTGCTTGCTTCAGGGCAAGAAGTCTTTATGCTCTTCTCCTGCACCCTGAGGACCAGCACAACACCCCAGGCAATGAGCAGGGACATGACCCATACTGAATTGATCAAGGTTTCAGCTAGGATGAATAGCACTTTCCAGGTACTGCAGCTAGAAGTTTGGTGGGAAAAACTGCCTGGACTGTTTTCCCTGCCTCCTTAGGCTCTCTTCCAGAAACAAACCTTTAGAACACACACATCCCCATCTCCTTCCAAACCCAAATACAACTTTTGTTCCTTCCCACATTCTCCTTAGCTAAACTACACACTTACCTCATTTTCCAGTTATTTCTTCTTCCTCCTGCTGTCCAGAAGGATCAATGAAAAGCTTACTTCTTCAGTGAGCTGGACTATTCCCTCATCCTCTCTTAARGAAGCCTGCAGCCATCACAGCTGCAAATTATAACCTCCCTTGTACCCAATGAGGGCTCTCTCCTTACCACACTAATTRCCTGCCAATAGGGGGTAGCTGTAGACACTTTGACGAGCCCAAAACCTGCCACAGGTGGAGGAGAAACTGCTGAATGTACTGCTGAATTGTGTGACTTYTTTCCCCTTTGCTGCCTTCATACCTGAGACATGCAAAAGTTTAGCAAAAGAAGGTTGATAGCATTTGGAGCATTCAGGATCTGCCTCTCTTGATGATTCATAAAAGCCTCAAATGGTGTATTTGGATCAAACTTCCTAACAGGCAGCAGAGTCTGAATTGCATAATTTGGAAGAAGGTTAAAAAGGCAGCACAACCTAAATTAGTTAATGAAATACTGCAGTTAATTTCCATGGACAAGTCACACCAGTCATTCTGAATAMAAAGCATGCCAAGAGCCATCACTGTGAGCTATCACCCTGTGCCTCCCTACCCCACAGAACAACTCTGCTCCCTTTGACAGCCATTAAATATTTCCTGTAGCATAGTAGGAGCCTTCTGCTCATATGAACTCTGAATTTGTGCAAGTGACTGCAGCTTTTCTGGATAATTTCAGGAAAAGCTTTGAAAGCAGTTTTAAAGAGTTGTTGCTTCTCTCCTCTGCAGAGCCCCAGTTCCACTCGGTAGAACCCTACACCAAGAAGGAGCTCTCTGCTGTGACTTTCCCCGATATCATCCGCAATTACAAAGTGATGGCAGCTGAAAACATTCCTGAAAACCCCCTGCGATTCCTGTACCCCAATATACCCAAAGACAACGCCTTTGGCAAATACTACTCCAGGCCTAAGGAGGGTGAGTGCTGTGTGGGGCTCACACCATGCAGGGTGTCTGTGTCTGGTGTTCCTGAGCTGCTGGGGCACTGTGTAACTTCTATGGCATGGAAAGSAAGGGAGCAGCTGGCCTGCATGTCTTGGCAGCCTGTCCCGTGTTTATAGGTTAAGAAAAAGGTCTGTTTTGAAGAAAGAGGCACAACAGGAGACCTAATGAGATAAAAAACGGAAGCCCCTAATTGCCACTGGCCCTCCAATTCAGCTGTCATGTGAGCCCACAGAAATGTAGGTTTCCCCAACATGACTGGTTGTGGGAGGGGATTTTCCCCCTTATTCTAGAGGAGCAAAGGAGAAACTGACTAAAAATGGATTCACCACAGTGCTGTGAAATGCATGACAGAGAGACTTGCACATTATCTGGGTCATAGGCTATATTTTTGGTACAATAAAGATGAAAATGTGATGTAAACTTGCTGAAAAAAAGAAACACACAAGCTTTTTTTTTTTTTTTTCTCCTTGAAGCACCAGAGCCAATGGATTTGGATGGTCCCAAGGGAAAYGGCTACATCAAGACTGAGTTAATCTCTGTATCTGAAGTGTAAGTTCCCACAAAAATGTTGGATTTTTAAGAACTGATCATAAGTTTTTAGCTGTAGTTTGTGTCTCTTCACATTATTTAAGCTGTAGGTGCCCCTRTCAAATCTTTCCCTCCCTGAGGATCTGTCACAACATATTCATGTGTTCAAAACATCATTTTTAGGTAAAAACCCTAAAAACTTTTAAGTAGTTGTATTGTCAAATAATTYATTGAAAAGCAAGTTCTCACAGACTTGTTGGACTTCTTTAGTTAGGATGTGCATCCATGAGTAGTCTGAGTTTCATTTAAAGCCGGGCTGGTTTTGCACAGCTTGGTCTTCACAAGAGGCCTCGTTAGTGGCTCTGCTGGAGCTGCAGCCAGACAGGGTAGCCCAGCTGTGCCTCGTTTCTTTAGTGAAGGTTTATCCCTCCTGTTCTCCATCAGCCACCCTTCCAGGCTCCAGTCTCCAGAAAATCTGCTCCCCATGTCTCCCGAGGAGTTTGACGAGGTGTCTCGGATGGTGGGCCCGGCAGAGATCGATACTGTGGTAAGTGTCAGGAGCCAGCCTGTAGCAGGAAAGCTGGGACAGAATTTGCTTTTCCCCTTTTTTCCCCGCTCCAGATACACCTCAAACACTCAAGCAAACACTTGGGAACACGTCTCTTCACATGCATGGGGAAAGCTGGGGATCCAGAGTTAGATTGGGATTGCCAGAGTTGGTTTGCCATTTGTCTGCTGGGAAAGGGGTGAAGAACTGGAGGGCAAAGGTGGAGAAAAGATGGGGAGTGTTGCTGTAATTCCTCCTGTGGGGTCTGTGTGGGGAGGGCCCAGAGCAGGAGGGCAGTTGGGAAGTGCTGCCCTGCCAGTGCTGTTCTTGCAGGGTGTGCTTCAGAAAAAACCCAAAATTGTTCCCCCAACTCCTCCCCCCCCCTCGGCAGGTGGATCCTAAGATGTCAATCTGTTGTGACTGGGGGAGAACTTGGTCACACGCTGTRGTTATCAAAGCCTTGAGAATGAGGGCCTGGCCTGTGTAATGGAGGTTTCCTTTTCTCCTTGCAGATGTGCACACACATTCAGCTCTGAGCTTTGGCTGAGCTTTTCCCCGCATCGTTAACACGTCTGATTCGCTTAAGCATCCCGTGCTGCACTCAATGCCCTGGTGACACGCTTCACTTCTTTGGTTTCTCAACCTGAAGGTCCAGCAGCAATTTTAGCTAATGGGAATGTCAACAGCAGCAGCCCGAGTAGCCTCCTTACTGCACATCTTTGTTTAGTTAGCAACACACCGTGCCAGAGGGGAGGAGGAGGAGGATGGGAATGTGAGCTCCTCAGTGACAGGGATGCGAGAAACATGCTYTCATTGTTTAAAGGAATGAGTTAAACATTTAAAACAGTTCACTCTAACAAGGCTTCAAAGGAAAGCTGGGTTCTGTTTAGAAAGCTCACACCTTAAATTTTTGTCAGAGAAAAACTCTACAGATACGTGCCACACCAAATCCWTGTGCTGCTGAAGTTTGTCGTGCTTTTAGCTTCTCTAGGTATGGCATTGGGAGAGCAGAAGCCCAAAATGTTACCTGCATTTCATTTTTGCAGTTTTTGTAAGCATAATTTTGTGATGTTTAGCACAATCTCCCCTAAAGAGAATTTCTCAAGACACCACTTCAAAGCTCCACTGGCACATGCTGAGCTTGCAACTCAAGGTGTATAATCAAGACTAAAGCCTCTGCAGACTGCAGTCCTGCTGTCCACAGAGAGTCAGACAAAATGAGAGTGCAAAAGGGGCTGAAGTATGTTTTTATTTACTGTGTTTAGGTGAGGATCTGGTCACTTCTATCTTTTTTTGCAGTAAGATATGTATTTAGGTTGTAACAGGTGGAATGGAACTCAGTTTTCTCATGCATAGTGAACCAGGGCATTTATTAAACTGTTCATTTGAATAGCTGAAAGATTCCACAGGCCCTGATAATGAAGTGGTTTTGCAATTCGGGGTAAGGCACAGGAAAGTGAAGAAGTTAAAACTTACCCAGTTAAAATTTATGCAGATGCAGTCTGCAGTACCTAAAAGGATGAAGCTGTGTTCCACCAGAGGAGGAGCAGGTTTGTTTCTCAGAACGTTTGAAGGTAATTAACAACTCACAGTTAAGAGTGAGGCTGTTCTAGGCAGCCTATTAGTGCAGGCTGCTAATTAGCACRGAGCTGAGCAGAGGGGCTGCAGAGCACTCGTGCTGCACCTCACCTGTCCAGGTACAGGGCAGCCMCTGCAGGGSACCCTGCCTGAGCASGGGGTTGGACAGGGTGACCTCCASAGGCCYCTCCTGCATCAGCTGCTGTTTGTGAAATYAGGGACTGGTTCAGTTTGATGTGTTGTGCACAGTGACTGATGTGCCCCCTTGCAAAAGCTCAAAAGAAAAKCTAAAGGACCTAGAACAGGTTACACATGTATTTAAATGAAAGCATTGCTGACACGAGTTTAGATTAAAACGTTGCCAAACTGACTTATTTTTGGTGCCCTGAGTTCCTGAGATTAATGTTGCCAGAGGAAATCACAACTGGTGACTTAGTGCTTTTATCTTATTGTAATTATCTGAATGTGTACCTGTTGCTAATACAAAAATCAACTATTTGATTTTTGAGCTATACTTTGTATTCATGTTCTGTATGTCATTACTTYTATACTTCAGTTTTGTGAGATTTAAAGCAGTGGCCTTGTTCACATGTTGGTCTCTCCATAACCAGYAGCTCTAGAAGCAATGATTTTTCCTTGATGGAATATTCTTTTATATATTTTAAATAAATGGAACTGTCACTTGCCACTTTTGTCCTCTCGTGTTTTGGCTACTTCTGTTGTAAAGTGGATGTGTCTGCCAGTATTTTACTCGTCTCATTTTAAACTTGTTCATATAACTACAGAGTTACAGCTCTGAAGCCTAAGGCAGTATTGATGCTTTTAATTCTCTGCATGGTTGCAGGCCAGKCTGCACTGGAGTTTTTAGAGGATGGCTGTTAACTTTTATTATTGCTGTATCACTTCATTAATTTGTTTSCTACTCCACACAAACTTCAATAAACTGAACTTGAATTTTTAATTTGAGTCCTCAGTAGGATTAACTAATCTATGGCTAATATTTGTGGGCTCCTAAGCTGGACCACTACTGCATCATTTTTCTCTGGGGCTAGTGACAAAATCCCTTGTCAYGCATTTGTCAGGTTTTTATATGAACTGCACAGCCAGAAGAATAATAAAGGAAAGAAACTGTTGGTGTGATGAAGCATAGCAGGGATAAGGCAAGAGAAACCTAAAGCTGTTGAGAGTACCTGGCCAATCARTCCAATTAACAATTCCAGCATTCACAAAAAGCAACCAGCAAAAGGACACAGCTCTCCAAGTGTAGGTTTCAAAATAAACAACAAAAATCAGAAATAAGCTATATGGGATAAATTTGTTCTGATTTCCAATGGAAATGACCAGAACAGATTTTCCTGGACAGCGTTCCCCATGATTGAAGACTTACTTCAGTGGCACTCACACAGATTAAAAAAACCCACCAGCACCATCATCATCTTGGTATTTCCATTTATTATGCTGTAAAAAGCAACACTATCTGGATTTTATTTCTTAAAATAAATAACTTTCATTTTCAGAACCAGTACAGCTCAAGTTTAGATTCATTCATGGGAAACTGCTAGAAATACATTCATCACTGTCTAGTCCCCACAATACAGAATCTAAAAGTCAAGATCAGCCCAGTCAGTTACAATGACCAGAAGTACACTGCCAGTAAGTATAGTCACGGATAGTCCAGCTCTGAAGCAAAAAAAAAAAAAAAAAATCTGGTACAATACAGTTTGTTCACAAAGATAGGCTAATTAATGCTAAGACTACCACAATATTTCTGAGTACAAAGCATTAAGTTAGCTGAATGATTTTAGGTTGTGATACAGAAGAAACATATATGACATAAAAACAAAGGAGTGGGGGAATCCTCTTTGGAGCGTAAGGAAGTCAGCGTTGGATAAGATAACCAAAAGCTATTTACTGTAAAATCTATGTGTCAGTGTCATCAATGATAAACAGCCAAACCAATGTACTGCATATATTTATATTTATAAATAACGCCATGTCTAAGTAGCTGCATCGCTGAATTGGACRTTACAAAATAATCCATCTTCTCACAATGAGAAAATACTATAACTAACCAGCAAAAATGCACTGAAGCTAAGACCGGCTAAAAGCACTYGGTATGAAAGCATTAAGTTCAGGTATAGCTATGATCTTCAATGTTAGCTCAGTTAAAATCCTTCTTTTGGTTTTGGTTTGTTTATATATGTGTACTATATAATATACCTAYGTTTCAAAATGCCAGTTTGAACAATGCAATGTCAGTTAAATAAAGCTAAACCAGGTATTTTTCTGAGAAGCTGAAGGATGTATTGTAATAGGGGGAAAACATGGAACATTAGCACTGAAATTCACAATTCTAAACTAGAATCCATCKGAAAATATTCCTTTACACTGAGGCTGATAAATCCATTGCCAGAGAGAGCATGTTGGAATTTAGATCAGAGTGCAGCAGACAAGAGGCCTTGTGCTACCCARTGACTGATGTGGCTCAGCAAAGAGCCAGAGACCATTTTGTTCAGTTCTTGGTTAGAACAGGGGTGGCCGTGACACAGGATGTGAAGAGAACRGGTTAAAAGCCTTCAGAAAAATAGCTGATCTTCAGAAGAACAAAAAAAAMCCAAAAAACAAACCCAACCAGCTTAAGAACARTAAGAGAAAAAGTGTTTGATAACCATGCCAGCCAGCTTCGAGATGCTATTTGGGGGCTTTAGACTTTCAGACTCTTTCAAGGTGTTATCATCATGAAGACAGTCACTGCTTGTGATGAGTACCAAGCACTTTTCCATGCGGTTTGCCCTCCCTGCAGGGAGGCAGTATGGCATTTCCACGAGAGACTGTACAGGAACTTGAAAGGATTTATTCTCAACTACACTGACCTGCTGGGTCGCCCTGGAGAAGTTACTTCTCTCCAAGCCTTGGCGTACTCATTGCTAGAGGAGGATAATGTGGTTCAGATCATCTTTATAAAGTGCTTGGGCCATTCTAGAAAGAGTTGGGGCATTATTTCAGGAGGATTTTGGTGCCAAAACACAGAAAATTTGAACTCTGAGATCTACTAATGACTTGTACACTACGTGCTAGGATAAAAACCACCATATACACAATTCTCAAGCTCAATCTCCTTTTCCACGTGTTAAATGATTCTCGCCTAAAACTCTTGTGCTAGCATTCTTGCCTACGTCCAACACSTGTAGTGTTCTGTGAGTATCAGAAGTGACTGCTCACTGCTGAGGTTTTATGCCACAGTACTGGCAGAAGCAATTGCACATGGGGCAGGGAGCTATGGCAGTRTCAGCTTTCTGTGAACTACAAACACCTGCATCTACATTTTCCAGGACAGGGCACRTGCCACACTGGCTTCAGCAGCCAGACAACGAACGCCACCGTTCCCCACAAAAGGCATTTACTGACTTGTGCTCCTGGTGCTGAACTCCCGTYCCACACCAGGGGAATCCCAGTGATGCAAGAACCTGCTCCCTGGTCAATGGCAGTGCAAGAAGAGAACACACCCAAAACCCTGGCTTATCTCCTGCTCTGCTCCTGTTCTGATTGGCTCTATGCTCCTTAAAGCTGTTTCACTCCGTCCGTGCTCCTTACCACAAGCCTACATGAGTTCAGACTGACATTAGGATTTGGTTTGGTTCTTTTTCTGTCAAGCACTTGCGTTGTCCTCGCTGGCTCCTGGAGCAGCCAGGGGACAGCACCTGCCAGCCCCTCCAGGGGCTCTGCTGTAGTGCAAATAAACCTGCAAGGAACACCTGCACGGAGTGGAAGCACCCGCTTTCCCCGGCCACAGGGAAATACTTTAGCAGCTGAACATGGAGAGAGAGGAGGGAGGCAAGACAAAAGGGAGCTGAGAGAAAACACTCCCAAAACAAAAATCCCACTACACACCGGTGCTACAAATCACATTCCCCTACGCCATTTGGTCAAACAAACCTTGAAACACATTCCCTGACAAGACTATCTCTAAGAACAAGCCTAGACGATTGACAACTGTCACCTATATACTCTGTGATATTTATATTATGTAAACAAGGTTGTGTGGAATTCTTTTATTCTGTTTTTTTTCCCAAAGATAAGTGCAGATCCTTACTAAACACACCCAGCCTAAATCTACATCAGCATCCTCAGCTTTCAAAAAACCTCACCGACGCTCATACCTGACAGTACTCTGGCTCATCSTGGCCATACTGGAAACAGAGGGCTAAAGAAACAAAAATTCAGCAGAAAAGTTCCTGACCACAGACTAGAGTTCACATAGAACACAAAAAATAAATTAAGTAGTGCACAGTAAAGCCAACAACAGCTAAATATTTTTATACATCAATTATATGCAGCATGAGGTAATATTGCTCACATTATGGAGGGAGATTCTTAGTTGGTTTTGTTTCTTTTGAAGAGATTGGATTTGTCCTGTGCGTATAGAAACTCCTGTAACGTAACACTGAAGTAACAGAGACTTCTGTAAAATATATACCACTATCAGATAGAAACACACACGCTCTTCATTACTTATGCATACCACAATTAAATAGGTAAGTGATTTGATTCTTAGGATCTAGCTGAAGATGATTATAGTAAGCCATCCAGATTTTTATGAACCGTTCGGTTCTCCTTCCCATTGTTGTTATCCTCTGATGGCGTGTATTGGACCTGATATTCTTGAAGAATTTTAAAAACATCATGGTGTCCGAAATGTAAAGCTTCRTCCATGGGAGTGTTATTCCACCTACAAAAAGCAGCACAGTATTTTTAAAACCATAGCCTGTTAAGCAGAGAGCCAAAAAGCACCAAAAATCTTGTTCTTTATGTACTGCACTTATAATTCAGCACATAGACCACACTCAGGTCAGTAACTGTGGAACAACTTCATTAAGCTGAGCATAACCTTTCAAATAATGGCTTGAGTGGTTCATTTTTCATTCCTGCTCAGTCTGCAGAACCTACAGAGAACCAGCAGGATCCCATTCCCCCCGCTTCAGTGGACTGGCTCAATACATTCCACTCTTCTTGACAGGCACCTTTCCTCACGGGGACCAGGGAAATGCCCCTGGAGCATCTTCCCTCCAAAGCAGCGATAAAAACMCTCACCTGTCTTTGGGGAAAGGATTCACTTTGCACGCTTCCAGCAGAAACTTAACAACGTCCACATGTCCTACAGGAAAAGCAGCCTGATGAGTGCATGTACTTCCATATATCCATGTATGGCACAGACAAAAGCAGGCAAAGATATTCCAAAGCAAGCTGGCCCCTCCCACAGACAGACAGACAGACAGACAGACAGCAAATGCTGCGTGAGGGGTCAGTACCTTCTGCGGCTGCCACATGCAGTGCTGTCCGTGAGTCGTAGTCTCTTTGCTCCATATCCATTCCTGACAGAGCAAACCTTAAAAAAATAAAATAACAGAGATTACTGAGGCAAGAATTACATAATTAAAGCAACTTACAAAACAAGCATGGAACAATATGGCTCTGCCACAAGAGGATGTGAGCAGCACCACAAGCACTCTGCACCTTTGTTGATAATAAAGGGGCCATTACTGCTTTGGCATTAAAAACCAAGTTAGTGCTTTGCTTTCCTCCTGCTCTTTAGTTGTCATAAAGAAAAACAAAACATCTTCGCAGGAAACATAACAGTCAACACACCTGATTTAAAATCGTACACAGACAAGCTGAGCCACATAAGGCAAAGTAAATTTATACCAGGTGAGAAAATCCCAGGAAGTCTCCCAAGTCTGAAAATCCTGAGTAGCATTAAGGGATTAGGAGAGTTCTTGCTTCACACTATGGTGCCCTGGGACAGCAGACTTAAACTATATGCTTTTTTCCACTAACTATGTTTAAACACATGCTAGCCAAATTTATGTTTATTTAGTCTGCTGTCATTAGTACTTCTAATTTTGCCAGATTCTCTTCCAGATTTAAAAAGCAAAGTTAGATAGCCTAACCTGTCCAATAACAATGGACATACATATACRTTTTCCAGCATGAATTTTTAACTTTTAGAATTGCGTATTAAAGCAGGTGAAAGTACAGCTAGGATTTTTCTGCCACTGCTATAAAAAACAGTTAAAGAAATTACCTTACTGTGATCCAAAGAAATGGAACACAGTGGTATTCAGGACAGTGTAAGAGTACCTTTTTGAGGGTTAGATTTGGGTCTTTTGGTTGGGTTTTGGGTGAACATATTCAATCTCTAGCTCATGCAGCTCAACACAACAGTYCCCAACATGGACACAGTCCACGTGCCTGTTCACAAATAAACAACAACAGCAGGAGCCAAACAAAGAGCGTTTGTAAAACCCACTGGTTTTTACCTCCGGAGTGCAGACACGTCCCCTGTGTAGGCAGCAAACAGCAGATTGATCACAGACTTCACCTACAAAGAGAGATTAAGCTCCAGTTTACTGATCTTCTTTCCTCAAAAAAGAAAGCCCAGCATGGCCAGTTGATCCAGTGCTTATAAACTTATGCCTTTGTCTGGCTCGCTTTACTATCAGTACTGCAAGGTCTGGCTTTCCAAGGCWGAAGTTGTCAAGGATAGTAAAAGAACTATAAAACATGCATTTCTGCTCTACTGGGGTAAGAAATACGAGCCTTGCTCTACAGGCAAACCATATTTCTCTCTTTGATTACCCAGTGACACCAAGTATTGCACTGCACACACAGCATCACTCTGCTCAATCCATAAARCCATGAACTCCTCAAAAGGCAAACTCATTGTGGAAAAGTAAGATATGCTGGATTTTTTGGTCTGGTTGCTTTTTTTTGGTTGTTTTTTTTATAAACCGCAAAGATTCCTAATACCAGCAGAAATCCATGTSAGCAGAAGAGATGATACTGCTTTTTCTTTGTATTACAGATTACCCTTCCATGCATCCAAGATACAGACCTCCCTCAAATAAACCATTTTAAGCAGTTCTGTTGCACAATAAGACAGGTTTCCAGGCAGACAAAGTTGGATTTTTTTTAGATAAACATGGGCTTAAAGCCTGACACAGGTAAAGTCTCTGGTGAGTGGTGTTTTTCTCAGCTGTATTGACCCATGCATATTTTTAACACATCCCGGCTACAACAACTCTGCAACTTCTAACAAGAGCCAAAAATGACAAGCTAGATRGTTTTTAGCATCCCACATCAGCTTCTTGCATAAACTGATACAGCCACCTCTAGGCACCATTTCACAGTAAATTCCCACTGAAAATCCTAAATGTTGCTTTCCTTTTTGAATCTGCAAAGCTCCAACGCTGCCACCAGTCAAGTGCAGAGATAAAGGAGGGAGTTGGTGCAGCACTGACCTTCCACAACAAGAAGGAGAAACAAACAGAACAAAAAATCCCCACCCACAAGCACGTCTCCCACAGATTTCTGCAGGAACACTGGCGCATTTTCACAGGGCCACAGACGAGCCAACATCTGCGCCTCCTCGAAACCAAAGGCACGGAATTGCTTGTTGTTTTTTACACCTCAAATATGCACTGACGCAAAGAGAAACCGGAGGAGAACGAGGCACAAAGGCCAGGATGGAAAGACAAAGGGGACACAGAGCCACCCTCAGGCTGGGATCCCCTGCTCCCTGCAGGGATGGRCACACAGGCTGGCACTGGGGCAGCACTGTGGGGACTGCCACAGAACAGCCACACCGAAATCCCAAACCCTCCACACAGACAGCAGGGCAGACTAAAGCCAAGTGTGAAAGGGGAATYTGGCTCCACAATCTCCACATTTCATCGAGATGATTCAGGTGCTCTCCTGGGGCCCCGCAGGCAGAGCAGGCTGGCTGTGCTCCCGTTCAGGTCAAGGTGCTGAATACTCTCCCTTTTCGGGACTTGGGATGAGCAAAGGACACACTGTCTTTCATAAAAACCATTTCAGAGGTAACTGACCATTTTGGCTGGGCTTCTTGATGTTTCTGGGAAATGCAAATATATATTAAAGTAATAAAATTAAAATAGCACGCATGCCTTTCTTCAAAAAACAACTTTCCAAGTGCAGCCGGGACCCAGAATCCTGGATTCGGCTGAACATTTTGCTAAAAAGCGATTTTTGTTTTTATAATGATGTGACAAAATGTAATTTGGAGATTCCTGAGGCTTTGTAACACAATCATCTGAGATCATGCCTCTAAACAATCTGGGAGAGGTCAAAAGCTGCTCCTTCCTTAAGATAAATCAAGTAAAATCAAAGCTTACTTTGCTATAAAACTGACCTTCTTGACAGATCGAAACAAAAAGAAATACAAGTCCAGACAAAAACATCTCTGCTTGTTTAGCTCAGAAGAAGGAAATTCACTYTCTGTCCAATACCAAAAGTAAAGGGATACAAAAAGCAGGAGAAAAACAACAAATTTAGCAGGACAACTATGAGCAGAGTAATTATCCAAAGCTGGTCAAAGATGAACTCAAGCTAAAAAAAACCAAGTGTAGCCACCATAGCCGAAACAATCCCTTAGGGATTACCTGCCCCTCCTTCAAGGGTGACTTTAATGATTTTATGAAAGAATTAAATTGGATTTGCTGGCAACAAAACACACCTTGACCCCTGAACTACACCCTACTGTAACTGCAGCACAGTCCAGGCCAAAAAAATGAACAAATTGGAAAAGGTATGAARTTAAAATTGTTCAGAAGGCAGGTATAAAAAGTGAATTCAGTAAAATTTAGAAATGTGCAAATACAAAATATATTTTGAACCCAAAGTAAGAATATACCATCTCCTATGAGCATCTTATAGATATCTCCTTAGTTATCAAGGCAATACTAATGTAAGCAGCATATATACTAAATCATCATGCAAAAGATTATCATTCACATTGAAAAAAAGTTACTATGTGAACAGCACTTGCTGCCATAAGTTTTTTATCTGTGCAGAATCTCACTTTGGCTGCCATACAGTCAAGTWCAAACTCTACCCAAAACTCATAGCATACTAGCTTGAAATAACAGATTCACTGCAAAAAAATCAAAAGCCAAAGGAAACTCTAAAGTGGCAGCAGCAAACATACGATTTTGGGATTTTTAACTATAGGAGAGAAAAAAAATAGTGAAGATAACAGATGAGCTCTATCCATCCAAACTAAGTAGGGCACAAGGCAACTAATTTAAGTGTTCAGAGGCTCTCTTCTCACCAAGTGGCTCATGAACATTCAGTGCTGGTGTCTCGATTACTGCACTCAAGTTTCCCTCATGTTTAGAAACACAAAGTTCACCTTCAACCCACCAGCCATGAATTACCTTTTCCTACTGCACATGCTTCCTTAACTATGAAAATTTAGTAAAAAGAGATGGGATGGGGTCCCTGTCCTGTATTTAAGCTGGATGGCAGGATCAAAGCCAGAGCAGCAGCTGTTCCATCTTCTGTCAAACAGGAGAGAAAAAACCTGCATGCACTGAAGCAGAGGAACAAGACAGAGCACTGCTCACTCGRCTACAGTGAGACCCTCTCTGTACAGCATTCTTTCCTGAGCATTGGGAATAACCCTCCTTATCCAGGCAGTGAAACCAGCAWGGAAAAGCTCCTCTGAAATACTCCTGTCACTCAATGGTAAAGATCAAAACCCCAATTTCACTATCAGCTTAGTAGGTGTTAGAGGTCTTGGACTCAGCTGGGCAAAGCTACCAAGGATTCAAGTCTTGCTCATGTCAGAGGTGGCCAAATGACCAAAAGCTCCAGAAGTCCACTCCAACTAATAAAAGTTCTGTGAGTCTGTGTGTGAAGACATGAGAAGCTCAAAAAAGACAAATCAAGACTGTTGTTGCTCAATAACTGCACGAAGGTCAAGTTAAAGGAAGGAAACAGCCGGAGTTCAGAGCGGCAGGAAGTCACATCGCTGCAGCAGACATTTCACACAAACACAGGGGACAAAAAGGCAAAAAATGAAAGGGAAAAAAACCACCCTCAAACCCCAAATTGCCAAACTGAATGAGCCACAGCACTGCCAAAGGGAAACCCAGTGTCAAAGTGACTCCTAGCCCAAAGCTTCCATATCTCAGTTATTTGGAATATCTCCTGAGCCTGGTTATGCAGGAAGTTTCAAAGAAGTCTCGTTCAAGCAGCAGCGGATGCATGGAATGGAGGAACTGCAGYAGGGAGCACGTGGCCCCACACAGCACGGCTGTTCCCCCTTCTCTGCAAGCACAAAGGACCTGGGCATGAGAGACATGAGAGCTTTTGGGCTGGTTTTCAATTTCTCAGTATACCTGCCTGAAAAACTTAATGAAAAGTAAATCGTGTCTATTGCTGCCTGCCTCTAAAGCCATCCACAGAAAACCTCTCCAAACACTTCAGAGAGAATCCACTGATGTTGTCATTGGCACTAAGATGGGAAACTGAGGCCCAGAGATGGAAATGAACTGCCATGGTCTCGTGGTGAAGGGACAGTGGCCTGACACCTTGTGCCCACTGGCTTCATCATTAATGCASAACAACCAAAGCTCAAGCAGGAGCCAAAGCCAAGCAGCTGAGCACAGTGGCCCTGTGCTCTGTCCCTGTCACCACAGGGCTCTGTCCCGCTCTGCCATCACTGCAGTGCCTCCAGCAGCTCAGGGAGAGCCTCTGGCCTGCACTGCACTTGGGTCAGGAGAGAAAAGCCAAACAGCTGTGCATGTACGGAAAGCAAATCCTTCAGAAAAAATTAATTTAGCTCAAAGCTGGATTAATTCCATGAGCAGCCCTGAGATAAAAAGGTCAGTGAATCTGGATTTTAATTTCCTACTGTGTCCTGTTTCCTGAGAATGCTCTGCCCTCTCCAATTGCTTTGAAAACATTACAGAATTAACATTCTGAAAATAAAAAASTATTACTTCCAACTTTATGTTTCTCCAGGTGGCACAGCAATACAGTCAAGCCCCTTTAGTTTATAAYAGTGCTGCTCAAGGCAACACAAACAAGGATAAATAAACAACTCTTCCAGTCCTCTTTTCATTATTTTTAGGGGTAATGCCACAGGTTAGCCTTCTGAAGAGATATTCAAAGTATTGAGAAAAAAAGGTTTGGATGGATATTGTCTCTCAGGAACTTTGCCATATCTGAACTTTACTGTGCCCCAGACCAAGTATGCTGACAAGAGACTTTCAAATACATCAAGAGGAGTTAAAAAGAGAGAGCAGAGCTCGTTAAGAGAACACGCGCACCACACATCCCTTTTTTTGTGTTTAAAATGGGACACAATGTTTCCTTTCAGGGAGCCCTGCCCTTCTGGCCAACTGGCTTGAAAACCTGAGTTTTAAACGTTCCCCTGCACGGCACGGAGGTGCAGAGATAAAATGGCATTTGAATTTCAGCTCCTGACTCCCCTAATGACAGGTGTGACACCAAGCCTTGGACCTGACGCTGGTGTCCCGGTCTCCTGACAAGGCTCCCAGCCCTAGGAGAGCTGCA